AGAGAACACAAATACTGCGAATGTTAACATTTCTTTTAATCTCCTCATTCAATACAACGTAAAACAATCTGGTATTCATACAGGAATGTGTTTGATGGCTACAATGGTTAAACCGACAACAGTCAAGGGTAGGTGAGTCAGAATCAGTACCATGGCAGTTTGACTGATTGCGTCAGGAACTCTTGCGCACACGAAATTTTGTTACGTAACTTGATTAGCATTACCCCACTGAAGGCTATGATCCTTCGTTTCGTGTTACGGCTTTNCATGAGATGTTTTGCGACTGATGACCCGGGATCTCTCTTATCCAATTGAACTTCGAAATTTTGTTGACTGTAATAACTCTTTGGGAATGTGTTCGGACATCCGTTGTGAAGAGATGCCGATGTAAATGTCATCGCGACTGCAGGTGACCTTACAGATAACATGCGAGCAATCATGTGCATCACACACATGAATAAACCGGACTGGATTTCTTAACGCACTTCATTTGTCCATTTTGTTCAATGTTATACATACGCGACTGGTGAGACCATACGAAAGAAATTCCCCTCTGGCTTACCTGTTCAAACATATCTAGGTCCTTCTCACTTGAGGTATGTGGCAGCTGTTGATTTCCGAGGAACTGTGGGGATCTGTTCCCGTGGCGTAGGGATAAGACTTTGCATTTAGAAACATTGAATTCAATGTCGTTCTCCTTAGTCCATTGATAAGCTGCGTTAAATGCTTCATGACGTGGCGGTGAACCCTCAGATTGTATTACTGTATTCCAGATATAATGTGCAATGACTGTAGCTCGGGATGCGAATTTTAGTGTTGGTGTGCTCTCCGAGCTGCTATTGTTTGCAGACGTTTTGTAGCCAGGCTAGGAAAAATCATCAATGCAACTTCGAGGAAGCTTCTTCGGATTCCACACTTTTTAGTGACCCGGCTTATTAGAGAAGCTTATTTCCAAGCCTGATGATAATACCATATCATATCCTTCCATATTTTGCTCACGCATTCCACACATGGCACCTCTTTCGTTCATTCATTCATGGTCATAATTTCGTTGTTATTCCGTGCACAGTGCTAATGCACTGGAACTGTTGCTTGACTTGGCCACATTGGACACTGGGGATGAGGATGATCTTGTCCTGACCACGGACAATTCACATGGTGAGATGCCGCATCTATTCATGGAAGTACCCCGTTTGCCTGCACTCCTGTGGACCGGATTAACCACTCGCAAGCTGGGTTCTCTGACTCCGGGTCAAACGAAACCAGTCACGCTCGAGCTAATTCCCACGGTCACTGGACTTCAGGTGAGCCCAATTACAATTCTGGTCTCTATTTCAAATGATGGAACATATTCATGTTCGTTCTACATTACTTCCAACTCAGTTTCAGTTTCTACAGCGTTTAACCATGCGCCTCCGCTCGCCGGATCGGGTTGCTGTCTTTTGGCTGCCCGTTTTGATAAATGACAGAAAGAAGATTGGAATGTTGAGAGTAGAGTCAAAGTGAAGATGGGGAATTCATGTAGATTGGGGTAACAAGAATAATGGGTAGGAGCACGAGCGCCATTGTTTGCGATACAGCCATATCACTCGGTGACTCGAACTACTGGTTATCATGATCTCGGGGTTCGCATCTAGAGAACCCAACGGGACCTATGTGACCAAACCTCCGGGTTAGGGTTTACATACCCTCATGTCAGGTCTTTGTTTAACCTCCCTTGACCTTTTTCCATTCGCTGCCCAAATCAAAAAACATAGCTCGCTGTGGCAGTCTGTTTGGCGATAATCGTAACACGCGTCCCAACCAGCGTAGTCTCTGGAGGTTGACCACTTACTCCAGTGGACGACTGTGATAACCCAAAACTCTGTATCTAACCTCAGTGTTGTTCGTCCGGTTTCCTCGCTATACTCTTGCAATGGGGCGTAGACATCGGTGTTCGATCACAGACGGTCTATTTTTATCGTATTCCCGTGGGGTCTCTGTACCGTAAATCAGCTTTGGTCGAACTACCGCAGCATACACTCGACTGTTCACGGACAGCCGGATGTCGCGACGGCGCCGCAGATGTCCCAAGTTGGCAAATTACATTCGGGCCTTCTGTATGCGTGCCGAAACTTCATCTGTGACGCTTCCGCTAGGTGAGATGTAGCTGTTCAAATCGCAAAATTTGTCTACTTCCTCTACTACTTTTCCAGATGGAGGGAGGATGGGCGCTGGGCCAACCCATTCTTGTTGTAGCATTTTGCACTTTGAAGGTTCAAAATGCATATCAAACATGGTCCCACTAGCATTCATGCTGTCAAGGAAAGCTTGCAACTTTCCGGATCTTCACTTAGCAGCACAGTGTCATCTGCCTAATCCAGATCAGACAGTCTGCCATCTGAAAGCAAATCGATATCACTATCCTCGCATGAGGACAGAGTTGTTTCGAAAAGTCAAATAGAAACAGATAGAGGAAATACTGATGGACATCACTTTCGGTAGTGAACTCAGGTGAAGAAGGGCTATAGGCTCAAACTCGGCTTCGGCTATTAGTGTTATTCTTAGTTCGAGACACTATTTCATACGACCGATAACTGTAAACAGTGGCGCTCGTATAATCATAGTTTACTGACGTTCTATATCCCATCCATTGCAATTCTCTTTTCGCTTAAGCCCTTCTCTTCTTTTTCGTTTGTCAATCAGACTGGTATTGCATTTATTCGTATGACAGACTTCCGCAGGTAGGATAGTATTACAATCCACTCTGGAAAAACCTAGTACGGATTATGTAGCACACAATCACGGGGCTAATGGTTGTGTAGACCTAACCGAACTGTTCTATCAGGAAGGAATGCCATATAAGTCATATGTGGCAACCAACGCTGTGCTGCAATTTGGAATAGTATAATAACTGACTAGTCTATTTCACCGTCAGTTCTACCAATCACCTAATTTCGACTAGTAACTTTTACTGACTTCATATGTTATTGTACGAACCGTGATTTCACCCCTGTTTTGATGTGCCTAACGGGTCGTGCATACCGATTGTGTGTAGGCCTGCAGTTTGTGGTATCTTTATTCTCAGTTGTTGCCGCATGTCATCTTTTGTTTTTGTAGACTATCCCAAGTCTCATCATTCATGAATTGACAATGGATCGCAACTATGAATTCAACGACCTAGGTCATGTGCTGGTCTGTGTTGTTTGAAAAACTTTGCTTTCGTGCAACCTGGTTTCCGTACGCCCTCCCCCATTCTCTATTTATACACTGTGATATTTATTGTCCTTTATTATCCATTCACTTCTCTGTGTCATCCGTACACTGATCAGTACGAATATGAAGAGTGTGGTACAATTTTGCACTGGCTGCTATACTTGTTCTCATCAGACGTCTCCGGGATTCCACGAACCGTATTGAATCTATTCCTAATCTGGAACAGAAAATTGAGAAATTCCCCTTGAACACCCGGTTCAATCTCGGTTGGTCGATTGCAAACTGTGTCCGCCTATTGATCTGACTAACTCGGTTAAAAATCTATTTGGTGGACTGGGTGCTGCTGTCCCCTAAAATCTTACTCTCAGTCAACTCTAATTGGTTTCTAAGGTGTTGTTTTAGTTGAGTACGGCCCTTATTGGGATGAGAAACAATTATTCTTGGTTAGATATTGGACACAGAATCCGTGTGCAATGTATTCACTTGAAAATACGCATTAAAGTGCTCTGCATTTTCGTGGGCATACGTTTGCTCAAATGATTCATCGATAAACCGGCATTCTCATGATCTCGATAGTCCTACAAGCAAAGGTAAAATGGTGATTGGAAAGGATGTTACAGGCAATCATTTTTCTCCATCCCAGGCTAACCGTTCAGCCTTGTTTGATTTGATTAGATGGAACAGCTCGAAAATCCATTTCTCGAGCAGTTCGATGTGGAAACCAATCGATCGTGACGTAGAATGGGTACCTTTGAATGAAACGTTAGAAATTGAGAGTAAAGGACTATAAACGAGTTGAAACATTATCAGAAACCACATACATATAAATATTTCGTTAGATTTTCTGCGATCGGCCGATCATCTTCGACCACCTCAAGAATTAAACCATTCAACGGATCATTAGGAATTAATATATCACGCACTGCTGTGCGGCTTTTTATCGATCCTGTGAGAACTCAGCCGTATCGGAATGGGTTATGCTTGCAAACTTCATGAAAAACTTCAAAGAAAATTGGGTATTATGTGTACATCGTAATAATAGTTCCTTCAAATTTTAGTCCGGATTCCAATTTGTATGTTTTCCTCATCAATGTACTGGCAAAGGTAAGACACTGTCTCGAATAGTGGCACATTTGTAAAAAGTGATTGTATGTCTAATGAGCTCATTGTCAAATCTTTGACGTCCAGGTCCCGAATTCGAAAGTATCTTTCAGGCTATGCTTGCAGATTTTCTTCCTGACCGGGTCCAGGATTTTTACTATCCATCGAGCAATTGAATGAAAAGATGAATTACGCATATCGAGAACTGGTCTTAATGGCGTTCCAGCTTTGTGAACTTCCGGTAGGCCATATAGTCTGGGGATATGTGTCCCAATTGGTTTTAGTTCTTCGTTATCAGATCTCGATATGTAATTTTGATCTTTCAGCGTTTTTAGGCAATTGATCAGTTGTCCTTCCGCTGCTATTGACATATCTTTCCTTTTTTGTCCTTCGTCAACTTGGTACTGTCGTTCAGAATTGTCATCATTTTGTCTATGTAATCTTCACGATCCAATAGTACTACTCCCCCACCTTTGTCGGGTTTCGATATTATGATTTCTGTATTCAGTTTTAGCTCAAGAAGTGCTTTGACATGTTTTTGACTGAGTAAACATCCACTTGGTACTTTCGTGCGACGATATTGAAAACAGGCGTCAACAAGGGTGGATTTGAAATCATCGACTGTTTTCTGTGTTGTAGCAGTTAAGCCTTCTGTCTGTGAGTATGGGTTCTCAAATTAAACTTCTGTCGAGAGCTGATTATCTCTGGATTTTGGGTAGCAGAATTTCGTACCGAGCGATAGAGCCTCCAGTAGCGTATTATCTATGGGTAGACTCGATAGATTGTGGACATATCGCTCCGGATTCTGGGGGACCTTTGGTCTCGCTTTCTGGTCATTGATTGTATTGTTCAATTTACAAAGTTTCTTTTCGACCCTTTTCCTGATAATACCCAAAGAAAATTGCTCGAATCGTTCACGTTCTTCATTGTTTAATAATTCACATACGGACTCGTGTTTTTCTACGTTTTCTTTTAATGACACGACACAGGATCTGATGGTATTAATCTCACTTCGGGCATGGCGCTTCAGGGAAATCGCATGTTGTCTGATACAAGCACGTCGGAGCACCTTTCAATAGAACTTCGGATACTGCTTCTGTTCAATGCACTGATGCAGAAATTCGACCTTCGTGTTGGCTTCCGCAAGTCTGGTTCTAAAGCTCAAATAACTATTGAGTTTCTTCAGCACTAGAGTATGTTTGTGTTCTCTTAATTCACGGAAGATTCCCATATGAATTTCAAAAGTCAAAAAGTATAGCGAACAAGCCTGTTTCCGTAACGTAGGAAAACACGAGTCCGTATGTGAATTATTAAACAATGAAGAACGTGAACGATTCGAGCAATTTTCTTTGGGTATTATCA